CGCTACAATTTGAAGAAAAACTATGGAAAATATAAAGAGCATTTACGTATGGAGCAAATACGGGACAGACAGAGAAGAGCAGCAAAGAAAGAGTCAATGGACGCTGAGGCACTAAAGAAATGGCGAGAACACAATCGGGAGCGTCAGAAGTTGTTGAGAGAGCGGAAAAGGAAGCTAGAAGAAAGTACAAGAAAAACTTGCGCTAATACTTCACCAATTGGTCCTTATAAGTCCAAAAAATCCCTCAAAAAAGCTGTCACCATAGTAAAACGCAGCCTTCCTAAAAGTCCTTCTAAGAGAATAGCGGTAATACAAGAGCTTGCTGGTGGAACTCTCTCATCTAATTCGGAACTAAAAAGTGGTTCCGGATCTTCCAATGAAACCATTTGTAAAGTTCAAGAGTTCTTCCAAAGAGATGATATTAGCGTAGTAAGTCCTGGGAAAAAGGAGTTTGTATGCGTTAAAAATACATCAACTGGAATACGACAAAAGTTTCAGAAGAGGTATTTATTGATGAGTATAAGCGAATGTTTCAATATGTTTGAAACTGAATATCCTGGTACACAGATTGGAAAGTAAAAATTTTTTGCGTTGCGACCAAGTTTTGTCCGTCCAATAAGAGAAACTCCACAAAATATGTGTGTATGCGTTTATCACGCAAATTTTTGTTTTTTTGTTCAAGCTATCAAGAATATCTTTCCGTCGTTTCCACCAAATCCTCTTAGCATCCTCGATAATATATGTTGCAATCTGTCGAGCGAACTCTGCTTGACAAATAGATGCAAAATGTGTTATAATTTATTAGATTTATTTCTGATAAAATTTGATCACAAAGCGGAAATTTCCTGGAAGAGCTGGATAGAACGAGAAAACCGAATGCAACTTACTGCTCAAAATGGTACTTTGGAGGACTTTTTGGTTTTGTTTGATAACCAATTAAAAAAGTTCAAACCGCACTGGCTAGTTCAAACTACTCAAAGTAAACATTTCAGAGAAACGAAGGAAACATTATTGGCGAATGAAGCAGTTCTGCAAATTGATTTTGCAGAAAACTACGAAATAGTATATCAAGATGAAATACAAAATGCACACTGGAGGCACCGACAAGCAACCATTTTCACAGCTTGTGTATGGGTCAGAGTTAATAATGAAATAAAACCCTTTTCGTATGCAATATTAAGTGACGACCTTACACATAGTAAAACTTGCGTGTGGAAATTCCTCAGAAGCATTGTCAGCGATATCAAGGCTCGCGACAAAAATATTGGTGTTATTCACATATTCTCTGATGGATGTGCTGCCCAATTCAAAAATCGCTACAACCTTTACAATGTGTGCTCTGCAGTAGATGACTTCGGTGCCAAAATTACTTGGTCGTTTTTTGCCACCAGTCATGGCAAAGGTGCCGTTGATGGTATCGGGGCTGTAGTAAAAAGGACTTTGTGGACAGCAGTTAAAGCACGGAAGGTGGTATTAAAAACGCCAAAAGAGTGTTTTGAGTTTCTTCAAGAGAAAAGCTTCAACGGTATAAAAATTCTCTACCATTCGATGGAAGACATCGCGGCTGAGCAAGTATTTTTAGATCAGAGATGGGCCCACATTGCTCCTATAAAAAATTTGCAAGAGAAGCACTTCTTCATTAAGGATGAAGAATCTGACGGCTGTCTGTTTGCTGGTAGGACAGCAAAATCTACGCTTGAGAAATTTTACCTAAGAAAATAATTTTAATGAAATTGTTCTTTAATTATTAATTTTTTATAAATTTTTTATATTCTAAAACAATAGAATTAATTATTTGATCATGCCTAATGCAATCAGCATAAATATTGAATTAGAATTATGATTTATATTTGGCTGATTTAACCAATCCTTAAAGCTGACATCAGGAAAGATCGTTTATAAATAGCATACCCACGTACTTACTTTTAACGTGTTAACTTGTTTTAACATATATATATTTTCCTATTTTGGCTTGAAATTGAATTATCGTAATGAAAAATATATGAATAGTTGAAATATGTAAAAAAAAAAATAGACATGTCGCACCCGTTACAACGAGGTGTCGCGCCCGTTACACTTTAAAATGTTAATAAATCTAAATGGATTAAGAAGTGTATTTTCTTTGAATGCGGAAATAATAGGAAACATTCCAAATTTAAATATGCCAAGGCATTTTTAGTCAGTTTAATTAAAAATTTTACACAGTTTCGTGTGAAAGTGGATTACACGCAATTTATCAATTTTATAACGTCGCGCCCGTTACGCTCTTCTTTGGCATTTTCTGGTCGGTACTGATTTATTTATAAAATGTAGTTCATATGAGTTAATTCCTTACTTCTGACAGTATTTTTAGCGTATAATATTGCAATGGTTACTTTAATAGTTTTCTTCAAAATTAAAGAATTATGCACAAAGGTGTCGCGCCCGTTACAATGGAAACTCCCAGATGTTAATTTTTATAATTTGAATTTGAATTTGAATTTTTTTTTTTCTAAATTCCGCTTATGGGAGCTTTCGCTGTACATATATTGGTTATGAGACAAACTAGATATGTAATGTAAGTTTCACTTCTCCAGTGTGGCCCAGGCACACTTGTTTTTTTTTTTTATAAATACATGCAAATACCTTGTATGTTTCTTAAGAAGAAAAGAAGAAGATTCGGACGAAATATCATGAAGGATTGAAGTGTGAACGCGCATAAGTTATCTGACATAGTAAACATGGATAGGAAGAAGTTATATGCCATCTGGGGCTGCAGCCTTTACTAAATAACAGCTGGAATGACTATGGCGAACGAGTTTCGAGAAGAAGAAAAAAATGATTTGTATCGATTATCTTGAAAAAAGGAAAATCTTAAGAAGGCAATAATTTATAACTAATTCTATTGCACCGACTGAGCGTTAAAATTGAGACATAATGTCATCTTTTGGGAAAGAAGAACTGCCATTTCTTTGAATACACTTCGATGGCCTCACTTTTTAGAGATGCCAAGCCAAACTAATTAGTTAGGCCGTGAATTGCTTCCCCCAATATTTAGATGAAGTTTGTCGCCACAAGGGGCAGATTACTTTGAAAATCAAAATATGATTTTTATGAAAAGTTTTTTTTTTATTTTCCAGTTAAGATACTTCTTGATCCGCACACATGTGATTACCATTTTTTGTGGATTTTCGCGTTTTGATCTCTCCCTTAAACTCTTACTCACTAGTTCTGTACCGTTATCATCAGTTTAAATCAGACAGACCTATACCATAACTCAACGGTCATCAGTAGATATGTAACCGCTTCCAACATTTGCGCATTGTCCTACGGGAACACTTCATGTTTCGTTATCCCTACGCTCCGTCACGTTAACTTCTGTTATATGACCCGGACACAACGTGCTAGTTTAACTCAATGTTTGCCCCTGGTACAGTTCACTAATGGCTCGCATTTTGGATATTATTTTTTTTCTTCATTCATAATTCATTCATAGAAAAAGAAGGAGAAAAAATTTAAGAAAAAACTTTAACGACGAACTGCTAAATTGTGTAAAGAATCTTCTCATATAACAGGTTTGCTGTCACTTTATAAATCAACAAGGATATCTGCCGCTAAATTAAAATGTTTATTTTGATCTCCTTACGCTAAGTAATTTTTCCTGAAACTGTGAAAGTATGTATGTATATTCATAAAACATGAGCCGTTACGGTGTGGAACTGCCCAGAAATTTCGCGGCTATTCATGGCCACTTGCCTTTCCATGAACTTTATTCAAATTTTTTAAATATTTAGTTTAACTTTTTTATATGAATTTACATATTGGCTTACAGCGAGCTTGCTTTTACATTGAAACTGTGGCATAGAGTTCTCTATAAAACATTAAGCAATTAACTAGTGGAAATTCAATAGAAAGTTAGCGTACCAAAATGTGTAATTTAATGAGTTTACAAGGTTAAGAAGAGTTGCTTAAAATTTCAAAAGAAATCTCAAAAGCTTTTTATATATAAGTGTTACTAGTATCAAGGCCGCAAATGAAATTTGTAGTGGCGTGATTTGTTTTGGGATTTCAAAACTTTATATGTAGTAGAAAGTGCGGAAAAAATGCTTGGAAAATAAATGTCTCCCTAAAAATAGAGAAAAATTTTATTTAATCAAATTTTTTTTAAATACATATGTATCTACGGCTGAGTGGAAGATCGACCTACCTCGGCATTCAGTTCGAAAACGCCCTATCTCAGTAAACTTTTCAGAAATCAGTTCGAAAACGCCCTATATCAGTTGTCGATTAAAAAAGCCCTTTTTCAAAAAATTTTCAATATATTTTTAGTTGAGATAGAGCGTTTTTGAACAAAATTCTGAGATAGGGCGTTCTTGAAAAGTTTGCTGCGATGGGGCGTTTTAGAACCGGATGACGAGATAGGTCGATCTTCCACTCAACCATGGATATATATTTAAAAAATATGATTAAATAAAATTGTTTCAAGTTCGTAAATATCGTCTATTTTTAGGAAGAAATTTATTTCCAAAGTATTTTTTAAGTCTCAATGGTTAAAACAGTGAATCTCAATTATAATAAGCTATTGCCATCTTATGTGCATAATTTGTTTTGATATTTTGTGTGAAAAAGTGTAGTCTCTTTAGAAAAATATTTTTTTATTTTTTTTGTGTGTTTTTTGTTGCTTCAATTTGAATACAAACGTGCGAAGAAAATAAAACTTCAAATTAAATATGTTAATTAAATAATTTAAAATATGAAATCTATCCAAATAAAAAATTTGTCCATGCAAATTTATTTACATCGTCGTATTTACAAATTTTTCGTTTCTAACTATGCATATATAGTATGTAAGTATGTAGTACTTAACTACTTCCAGATAATTACTTTCTACACTAAAATTTGCTACTAGATAGAGTATGCATGTGTTGGTGGGTTTACAGCTTTGATTTAATTATGACGAGTACTATTTCGTTTAATTTTTATGTAAATTTTAAAATTTTTTATTTTGTATATTCTTTAGCTCACTGCTTTGATGTGAGGTTGATAGGTGTTTTATGTTAAATGTGTTTGCTTCGTTGTAGAGTACTTACCCGTATGATTTTCTGATCGTGCATTATCTTTCGTATGCAATTCACCAGGAATGTAATAACCATGCCACCCAAGATTAGACCGAAAACAATCATTATAATGATCATATGCTCGGATTGTTCTGAAGATTGTTTCTGCAATGTGGAAGTAGAAAGGAATTGTTAAAGAATGAATGAAATTCTTGTATTTAAGTTTCGTTTAGGTGAAAGTTTTAATGCCTTATTTTCTACCTGAAGAGGTCTTTTGGACCCTTCGTAGAAGAAGTCTGATGCAAGTTCATTACAAATGACAGTTAGCATGGTAAAATGTTCTTAACAGTTTTGAGCAGAGAATTTAACTAAGGGTTATCAAGTAAGTAATTTATTTAAGTTTGAAGACACCATATTTAACCTCCTAGTTATATCAGTGATTCCAAAAGTGGTCCAGGTGGTCCACTAGAGAAGACTCGACGGGGGTCTACGTTGGCGTAAAAAAATTAGAATGGAAAGGAATGGAATTGTGGGTAGCTGGAAAAAGTAAAAACAATCTTTCCAAGCACTCAGACAGTATTTTCCATTGTACTTAGGGCAAAAAAAATATGGGGGTTCACAAGTTGTAAGTGGCGGCCCACGAACATTTATCTGGCCTCGATAGTAAAGAACTTAAATGTTGGCTTGGCCTTACCTATTAATGTAGGCAGATAATACACTGCTCAACAAAATTAGGGGAACAATAAAAAAAATCAAAATTTTTCGATAATTTCTGATAATTTACAAAAGGCATTTTGAAGTTTTAGGATTCTAATATTCAGATTTCTTGGCTAACATTTTTTAGGAGCTAAGGTTCTTATGCAATCCTCACAAATAGAGCAAGAAAATAATTTTGCAATTTTTTTTTTTTTGGTCTACGGGCGTAAAAATTTTGTTCAGTAGTAAAGTATTTTAAGACAAAGTTCGCCAAAATTCCTCATTGAGGAAAAAAATTGCCACCTGGCTCCTCACTATACAACTCAATTCAAGAGCATTCAATTTTGATTTCCTCTTTTGTGAGTTAAAAAAGAAAGAGCGCTCTTTGACTAAATTTTTCTTTAATATAACTCAGTTTTTTTTGCCTCAATATTTACCTCATGCTCCCATGCCACTCAAAATATTACTCCTCATAAGAGAGCGTTATGTCCCTAAATAGAACAGAAGAAAATATAATATTCTGATTTATACTCCAAATTTAGGGTTGGAACCCAACCGCGACACAAATTTCAATTGCTGGATCTAATCTTTGCAAGTTTTAAGAATATGGTAGAAATGTAGCAGCGGGGAATGCACCACAACCCGTAAAATTTTGAAAGTGTTCTTTGAGAAAAAAGTTTGGGAACATCTGTTCTACACAATGCGATGAGCCTGTCCACCAAACGTTAAATGTTGTCTTAGCAAGACTAGGATAGCTATTTTTCCAAAAAAAGGAAATTACTGACAGAGATATTTCTTCAAAAAAAAAAAATGTATGCTTATCCAAAAAGTTAAATATTTGGATGCAATTTCTGATAAAAAGTTGCTAAAAACATGAACCTCATTTGGTCCCCTAATGGGAGCTCAATTTGGTTAGATGAATGTACGAAACTATTTTCAAGTCTATATAGTAAACCCACCCACCTGGGAACGAAGACAGAAGTAAAGTCTACGCGCGTAAAGCTCAGAAAATCCAAACGACTAGCCTGTGCGGACACCAACTGCCACTCTCGAAGCGCTTTTAGACCTACAATTTCTGCGCATTGTAATCCAGAAAGAGGTTTTTTATGGAAGCAGACTCATCTCGGCGAATAATTTGGAGGTTAAGAAGCTTAAGACCATATACACAGTTTAATACCACTCGGAGTGTTATAGAAGAAGAGGAAGAACTGCAAAATCTATGGTATCGGCAAGAGGAGTTAACGACAAGCAGGGCTTCAGCTAGGAAATTCAACTTGGAGTGGGTCCCACTGAGAGAATATTGAGCTGGAGTACTTTTGGAGTGCAACTGCGAGGTCCGAAAAGGTACCGGATGCCGTTGTAATATGAATGGGGTTAAGATTCTCTATGCACTCCAAGACTAACGATGATGTGAATGTTAAATATGAAAGAGCTAGAATCCTAAATTCCTTACCTTTCCTCTGTCAAATCCTTTTCTAGCGAATTTAGTTCTTTTTGCCACCTACTCCATAGCTAAGTGCTGAGACTGTTAGTTGACTGGGTTTTGGGAAGCACGGTTCTTTAGGTCCGCTAAACAAAATTTCCCCAAGCCACTATTTTTCTCTATTGCATTAGAAAAGTTTAGACATATAGGGAGCGACCAAAAACGATCTATTGTAAAAGATCTCTATTTGGGTATAGAATATGCTACAGAAACTATAATGTCATCACGAAATAAGAGGGAATCTTAACAAAGTTCCTAGGTGCCGCTGTATTAACTAAAACCGATACCTCTGGCTTTACACGCGGGATCACGGTACCGACGTCCTTATTCTTACTCCTCTCCCATCCCATTTCCCAACTCTAGGCCTTTGAAAATTAGCCCTGACTAGGGTGTCTGAAATAGCCGCAGTAGGCACCACTTAGAGGGAGGAAAGCGGGGTGAAGGTGGCCTCAAAGGCTATTTTTTCTACCTAAACGGACTCTGAAATTTAGGCAAAGCTTTACGCCCTCTGAGGGAAAGCAGATGATGCGGCTCGGGGAAAGAGAATCGAAAATGATGCCTATTCGAAAAAATGTTCAAGATTTAAGTACTTAGTAGTAACAAAACCCAAGGCAGAAGCCAGAGCTTTAGGCTCAATACTTATATTTATCTTGGATACTGGGTTATATGACACTATAAATCCATGAAGGGAGGACAATAAAGTGAAACCCGCTTAAGTGCCTAACCCGCTTAAGTAACCAACATTTTTGGACACCATGAATTTTTTAATGTATTCTGAAGAAAATCCCTCTCCTAAGTACCTCCTCGCTTATGTACCCAACCCGCCTTAGTACCTCAATTTTTCATGCCCCATTTACAATTTTACTTTTAATTTTCCCCTTTTAAGTGCTCTTTTAAAATTCCTTAAAATATTTATGTATTTTGAAATTCAGTAGCAGCGCCACACAACTTCGGTAAAAAAATTCTAAAAAATCAACGATAACTTTTAGCCACTTGAAGCTTGCACATTGTTAACTGCAAACTGTATACTCAAAAACACTTCTGAGAAAAAAGTTTGAAATTATGATGATTTTTTTTAAGCGTTCTACAAAATCTTAAGCTTAGGTTTATATGGTATTTGTTAAGGAATGAACTGCATTTTAATTGATTGAAAAATCTTAAAAATTAATAAATAAACATAAGTGGCAAACAATATTATATTATTATTATCACGCTAGTGATAAGCCGCTGTCTGGGTTGTTTACCACGGACCACAGCTCCGACACCATGGTCAGGCTTGGAGTCATCAGTATACCAATTTTGGTTATTTTTCAGAGGTTTTGGTCGCCCAATGTGCCACTTGGATTTGTTAGGGAAATTTTCAATGAAGTTAAATATTTATGTGTGAAGCAAGCTTTGCTTCAACGAACTTGGCTCTCACTATTTGAATATGCATGTAGCCATAAATATTTAACATTTTTCATTTTTAAATCGTGACCATAGTTCACTTTTTAACCTGCTTTTCCTACCCGTATCTCTTTTCCCTTCCTTATCTCGTACAATTTAATATCTTATAATGTCATTTAGGAAAAGTCGTTGCTGTTGTCAATCCTTTGAATATTTCTACATATTGCATTTATAAAAAATTAAAAAAAAAATCATCAAACTGCAGTTAACAGCAACTGTATAAATGACAACTTCGACAGCTTGATAGCTTCATTGTAGTACGCTAACAATTGCAATCACTTGATAGTTCATTCGATATTCCCTTAGCACCTAAAGTTGACCATTTCTTTGCACAATTGCTATTATCAGAAGAAAGCACGTACAACATTTATATGCATACATACATATACGGGCACGTACGCATTCTAAGGTGCAAAATTGTATGTATGGTAACGTTAATCCCGATTAACGGCGCAGATGATTTCGATCAAAATTGTACCCTGACTGCCGGCAGTATTGCGCATTATGCGATTACTGTTTTAATTGTCTATCGTAATCGACCATTTTTGATTTGAATGAATTTTGGTCAGAACTTTTCCTTTATTATATAACCGAGTACTGCCAAAGTGAAAAAAATTTAAATTTGTTTTTCGAAAGCTAAGCAAAATTCCAAAATTCTAATCCACACTTTCACCAATCAATTTTAAAATTTATCGGACCGTTAAAATTTAAAATGACAAATTTTCCGAACAAAATTGTGGCATTTGAAATTTTAAGAGGCTGAGAAATTTAAAATTGATTGGTGCAACCGGGCATAAATTTTACAATTTCCGGGATTTTGTGAGTTCATATTTTTAATACCTCAAAAGGTATTTTATGTAGTTAAAAAATGCTTCTGGTCTCATTTTAAAGGTGATATTATAGGCTACAAAAAAAAAGTTTTTAAAAAATTTAAATAAAAAAATTGCAAAATTGTATATGTATATGTTTGGCTAAATTTTTTTTCAACAATAACTCTAGCTGCTCTTAAAATATCCTGAAGTTTTCAAGAAGGTTTTGTTTCAAATATATGAGTTTTTGAATTTTGCAAAAAAAAATTGATTGTAAACTTTAAATAAATTTACTTATGTTAAAAAGATTTAATTTAATTAAAATATGTTTTTAATTTAGTTTAGAAAATGCCTTTTTTCAAAGTTCAAAAATCCATATTTTAAAAACACCGTCTTGAAAGTTTGTGGATCTTTTAGGATAAGTTTGGGGTACTGTTTAAAAAAATTTGAAATTCATATACCATTTTTTAAATTTCTGTATTTTTTTATTTTTCGAATTTTTTTAGTATATTCTTTTACATAGCCCCAAATATCACATTTCAAACGAGACCAGATACATCTTCGTAGCTAAAATAGTTTTTAAGATTTTCAAAGTGCATAAAAACTTGACAATCTGAGAAACTGTGAAATTTTTGAACTTTCTAAAAAAAATTTATTTTTTTTTTGGGCTGCATGTAATGAAACCAAATAAAAAAAGTAATTTCTGAAAATCGCTCCGCTGTAAGACTAAA